GGGTATGTGACAGGAAGCCTGGACTGTCATTATCTCTCAGTGCGGGCTCTTAGTCACGTTAACCTCTTCTGAGGTTGAGAGATGACTCTCTTTAGTTGCAAAGATGAAAGACACTGACACAGGACTATACAATACACAAGATCCAGCGCACTCACCTATCCACTAAACAGCAACTTCAATGTTGAAAGATTTTATTTGTTTTTTTAAAAACACCTAATCTAGGCTAAAATAATGGGGGTTTAGTTACATTATATGATCATACATTGCATAAGCCTGCCACAACGTCAATGTACCCCATCTTTGGCAGGTCCTACACTAACAACCTAATGTCTGCTCTTATGAGATTAACCTACTTGGGGAAAAAAATTCCATCTGGGGCTCTCTGCAGTACAAGGCTATATAGGGCCCTGGGATGAGGCACCTGTGACAGGGAGGGGTGCAAAACCAAGGAGTTGGCTAGACTCCCAAATATATATAAAACAAGAGGGGGTTGGCTGCACTCACCTTAACATGCACAAATGGGGGTGCTGCTGGGGGCCAAACAATACAATACACAAGATCCAGCGCACTCACCTATCCACTAAACAGCAACTTCAATGTTGAAAGATTTTATTTTTTATTTTTTTTTAAACACCTAATCTAGGCAAAAATAATGGGGTTTAGTTACATTATATGATCATACATTGCATAAGCCTGCCACAACGTCAATGTACCCCATCTTTGGCAGGTCCTACACTAACAGCCTAATGTCTGCTCTTATGAGATTAACCTACTTGGGAAAATAATTCCATCTGGGGCTCTCTGCAGTACAAGGCTAAATAGGGCCCTGGGATGAGGCACCTGTGACAGGGAGGGGTGCAAAACCAAGGAGTTGGCTAGACTCCCAAATATATATAAAACAAGAGGGGGTTGGCTACAGGACTATACAATCCAAACAGCGACATGGGCAGCCATGTTTGTTCACTCCCACATCAATGTTCAACTGGGCGGCCATGTTTGCTCTCTCCCCCAGCAATGGGTAACTGGGCGGCCATGTTTGCTCTCTCCCCCAGCAATGGGTAACTGGACGGCCATGTTTGTTCTCTACCCCAGCAATGGGTAACTGGGCGGCCATGTTTGTTCTCTCCCCCAGCAATGGGTAACTGGGCGGCCATGTTTTCTCTATCCCCCAGCAGTGGGCAGCTGGGTTGCCATGTTTGTTCTCTCCCTCAGCAGTGGGCAGTTGGGTTGCTATGTTTGTTCACTCCTACATCAATGTTCAACTGGGTGGCCACGTTTGTTCTCTGCCCCAGCAATGGGCAACTGGGCGGCCATGTTTGCTCTCTCCCCCAGTAATGGGTAACTGGGCGGTCATGTTTGTTCTCTGCCCCAGCAATGGGTAAATGGGCGGTCATGTTTGTTCTCTGCCCCAGCAATGGGCAACTGGGCGGCCATGTTTGCTCTCTCCCCCAGCAATGGACAGCTGGGTTGCCATGTTTGTTCTCTCCCCCAGCAGTGGGCAGTTGGGTTGCTATGTTGGTTCACTCCCACATCAATGTTCAACTGGGCGGCCATGTTTGTTCTCTGCCCCAGCAATGGGCAACTGGGCGGCCATGTTTGTTCTATCCCCCAGCAATGGGCAACTGGGCAGCCATGTTTGTTCTATCCCCCAGCGGTGGGCAGCTGGGTTGCCATGTTTGTTCTCTCCCCCAGCAGTGGGCAGTTGGGTTGCTATGTTTGTTCACTCCCACATCAATGTTCAACTGGGCAGCCATGTTTGTTCTCTGCCCCAGCAATGGGCAACTGGGCGGCCATGTTTGTTCTCTGCCCCAGCAATGGGCAACTGGGCGGCCATGTTTGTTCTCCCCCAGCAATGGGCAACTGGGCAGCCATGTTTGTTCTCTCCCCCAGCAATGGGCAACTGGGCAGCCATGTTTGTTCTCTGCCCCAGCAGTGGGCAGCTGGGCTGCCATGTTTGTTCTCTCCCCCAGCAATGGGTAACTGGACGGCCATGTTTGTTCTCTCCCCCAGCAATTGGTAACTGGATGGCCATGTTTGTTCTCTCCCCCAGCAATGGGCAACTGGGCGGCCATGTTTGTTCTCTCCCCCAGCAATGGGCAGTTGGGTTGCTATGTTTGTTCACTCCCACATCAATGTTCAACTGGGCAGCCATGTTTGTTCTCTACCCCAGCAATGGGCAACTGGACAGCCATGTTTGTTCTCTCCCCCAGCAATGGGTAACTGAGCAGCCATGTTTGTTCTCTCCCCCAGCAATGAGCAACTGGGCAGCCATGTTTGTTCTCTCCCCCAGCAATGGGCAACTGGGCGGCCATGTTTGTTCTCTCCCCCAGCAATGGGTAACTGGGCGGCCATGTTTGTTCTCTCCCCCAGCAATGGACAGCTGGGTTGCCATGTTTGTTCTCTCCCCCAGCAGTGGGCAGTTGGGTTGCTATGTTTGTTCACTCCCACATCAATGTTCAATTGGGTGGCCATGTTTGTTCTCTGCCCCAGCAATGGGCAACTGGGCGGCCATGTTTGCTCTCTCCCCCAGTAATGGGTAACTGGGCGGCCATGTTTTTCTCTCCCCCAGCAATGGGTAACTGGGCGGCCATGTTTGTTCTCTGCCCCAGCAGTGGGCAGCTGGGCTGCCATGTTTGTTCTCTCCCCCAGCAATGGGTAACTGGGCGGCCATGTTTGTTCTCTGCCCCAGCAATGGGCAACTGGGCGGCCATGTTTGTTCTCCCCCAGCAATGGGCAACTGGGCAGCCATGTTTGTTCTCTCCCCCAGCAATGTGCAACTGGGCAGCCATGTTTGTTCTCTCCCCCAGCAATGGGTAACTGGGCTGCCATGTTTGTTCTCTCCCCAGCAATGGTAACTGGACGGCCATGTTTTGTTCTCTCCCCCAGCAATTGGTAACTGGTGGCCATGTTTGTTCTCTCTCCAGCTTTTGGTTAACTGGGCAGCCATGTTTGTTCTCTACCCCAGCAATGGGCAACTGGACAGCCATGTTTGTTCTCTCCCCAGCAGCAGCCATGTTTGGGCAATAACTGAGCAGCCATGTTTGTTCTCTCCCCCAGCAATGAGCAACTGGGCAGCCATGTTTGTTCTCTCCCCCAGCAATGGGCAACTGGGCGGCCATGTTTGTTCTCTCCCCCAGCAATGGGTAACTGGGCGGCCATGTTTGTTCTCTCCCCCAGCAATGGACAGCTGGGTTGCCATGTTTGTTCTCTCCCCCAGCAGTGGGCAGTTGGGTTGCTATGTTTGTTCACTCCCACATCAATGTTCAATTGGGTGGCCATGTTTGTTCTCTGCCCCAGCAATGGGCAACTGGGCGGCCATGTTTGCTCTCTCCCCCAGTAATGGGTAACTGGGCGGCCATGTTTGTTCTCTCCCCCAGCAATGGGTAACTGGGCGGCCATGTTTGTTCTCTGCCCCAGCAGTGGGCAGCTGGGCTGCCATGTTTGTTCTCTCCCCCAGCAATGGGTAACTGGACGGCCATGTTTGTTCTCTCCCCCAGCAATGGGTAACTGGGCAGCCATGTTTGTTCTTTTCCCCAGCAATGGGCAACTGAGCAGCCATGTTTGTTCTCTCCCCCAGCAATGGGCAACTGAGCAGCCATGTTTGTTCTCTCCCCCAGCAATGGGCAACTGGACGGCCATGTTTGTTCTCTCCCCCAGCAATGGGCAACTGGGCGGCCATGTTTGTTCTCTCCCCCAGCAATGGGTAACTGGACGGCCATGTTTGTTCTCTCCCCCAGCAATGGGTAACTGGACGGCCATGTTTGTTCTCTCCCCCAGCAATTGGTAACTGGGCGGCCATGTTTGTTCTCTCCCCCAGCAATGGGCAACTGGGCGGCCATGTTTGTTCTCTCCCCCAGCAATGGGTAACTGGACGGCCATGTTTGTTCTCTACCCCAGCAATGGGCAACTGGACAGCCATGTTTGTTCTCTCCCCCAGCAATGGGTAACTGGGCAGCCATGTTTGTTCTCTTCCCCAGCAATGGGCAACTGAGCAGCCATGTTTGTTCTCTCCCCCAGCAATGGGCAACTGGGCAGCCATGTTTGTTCTCTCCCCCAGCAATGGGCAACTGGGCAGCCATGTTTGTTCTCTCCCCCAGCAATGGGCAACTGGGCGGCCATGTTTGTTCTCTCCCCCAGCAATGGGTAACTGGACGGCCATGTTTGTTCTCTACCCCAGCAATGGGCAACTGGACAGCCATGTTTGTTCTCTCCCCCAGCAATGGGTAACTGGGCAGCCATGTTTGTTCTCTTCCCCAGCAATGGGCAACTGAGCAGCCATGTTTGTTCTCTCCCCCAGCAATGGGCAACTGGGCAGCCATGTTTGTTCTCTCCCCCAGCAATGGGCAACTGGGCGGCCATGTTTGTTCTCTCCCCCAGCACACTCTGATTCTATCCGCCTCACCACCCAATTCCAACAACTTCCAACACCCCACAATCCAACCCTATCATCTCTTCCAACAAGTTCCCATTCTAGCACATGTTTCCAAAGTACCCCAATTATTTCAAGCATACAACTACAACACCCTGTCTTTCAACACCGCCTCCTGCCCAGTACCCTCAATTCATCCAACATCACCCCTTACTTCATACAACACACCTTCTTCTCCAACATTCCCACCATGGGGCCATAAAGCTGACACAGCCCTTCATTCCGTACCAGACAAATGAAACTCGTTTTTTTTATTTACAGTCTTTATAAAGATTTATGTTTTTATGGAGCAGTGTAAAGTTACAGAGCAGAAACATGCGCATCCATAACGTTACGATAATAAAAATCTGCAAGAGATAATAAACCATACGTTCTGCACACTCATTTTCTAAATATAAATACAACAAAGTGAAGGTTGTAAAATCATGTAAGCCGTAAATAATGGTTATTACATACAATAAGCAAAAAAGTGTAAACCAGTAAATACAGAGTCATTACATGGTTATTGACTACAGCAAGAATGCAAAGTGAATTTCAAAAATAAGGCCAAAATTGCCAAACTGGAAAAACCCTCTTATTGCGCTATACTTCCAGTTTGGCCGCTCTGGCCTTAAAGGGACACTATAGTCACCACAACAACTCCAGCTTAATGTAGTTGTTCAGGTGAGTAAAGTCAGTCATCTGCATTCTCTTTGCTGTAAGTACTGCATTTTTAGATCAAAGGCCATGTTTACATTGCTGAATAGGGACAGTTCCAGTGGCAGTCACTCAGATGGCTGCTAGAAGTGCTTCCTGGGTCAGTGCTGCATAATCTGACTGACATTCATTGTCTCCACCCTCTGTATGGAGACACTGAACTTTCCTCGTAGAGATGTATTGATTCAATGTAGATGCTGATTGGCCAGGGAGCCATCCTTCTGATGATGTCATTTAAGAAGGCGGATCAAGGCGGATCATGGCAGATCCAGTGCTTGCGGACCTGCACAGTGCTGGAAATAAGGTAAGATTTTACTATATGCAGGGGCAAAGAGGGTCTAGATAGTGATTGTAACACTATGGGGTCAGAAATACATGTTTGTGTTCCTGATCGTACAATGTTTCTTTAACCCCTTAATCACATGAAGAAATAAAGAGTGGAGAGTGCACTATGTGGCCTCTAAGTATGGACTATAAACCTTGAATTCCTTCCCCCAGCGATTCTGAGTATTGGGTCTCAGTCCTTCCAGAGTGAGCTATGTATCCACAACGTTTGTGCATAAACTGGGTTATTCAATAAACTCTGAATTCTAGCTAACTAAATACAATTTCAAAATTTAATTTCCTAAAATGATGCTTAGTGAATAACCCTGATATCTGTAAGTTCTTTGATAGATAAATGTAGGATCTGTTCACATCATAGAGTTTAAATCGCTACATTTGCATTTTTATCCCTTTGACTCGGAATCATGATTTATTAGTCATTCAAAGGCAAAAATAGACCCCAAAATCTGTATTCTGTCATCTTTCCTTGCCTTGCTTCGAATGAGCTGGGCACAGCTAGGACAGTGTGCGCTTTTCAATGTGCTAGGTACAGCTCTGACAGTGTGCACTCACCATGTTGCTGGGTACAGCTCTGACAGTGTGCGCTTCCCACGTTGCTGGGTACAGATCTGATAGTGTGCGTTACCTCATAGCCCTGAAGGAAGCACAGTACTATTTTATGAGGCATTCATGGAACTCAGGGAAATGAAATGGTTACAGTGCTGGGGTTTGATTAGCGGTTATCACTCAGCCCTGAGCATTATTGTGAAATCCGTTCATAGTCCTCTATTTAAGGGAAATATTAACTTAAATGAGTGTGATTCAGACAGGACTACACCCATCCCAGAGCATTGTAATAACCTCCAATATAACTACAAACGATCTGTGTATCCTGACACCAAACACAGCTCAGGGTCAGAATTCAATGAGTAAGAGGCAGGGGCTTATTCACTAAACAGCGATTGGGGGTGGTGTACACTAGGGGTTGTCAGATCACGATGTCTGTCACTTTAGTGAATACATATCATAGTCTAGCATACCACACATAGGGTTTTTTAATATTCCTTACATTGTTCAGTAATGAAGAGGTACTTGCACATTGTAGCCAAAATAGGCAAGTGTCATTTTTCAGCTATTTCTATCTATAATTTGCCTTTCCTTGCACACCTGCCAACTGTCTTAAATCCAATAGGACAGTCCTGACATCGAGCTCCTGTTCTTCCTATTTCATTTTTCCCCTCTGGTGTTCCCAGAAGCAGCATTGTACCTATCACATGTTCCTATTTGGAGGGAACCCACTGTCTTTTTTCTAGGAGCTCAATACTCTTGGTGTGTGATTAGATAATAGAGAGTAACATGTCTTTAAACTACAATAAATGTGTTTAGAAATCAGTCATTGTTCTTCTTTTAAATTACATTTTAGTCACAAATTATTTTAGGATGTCACATAAAATTTCTATGAACAGCTCCGCCCCTGGCCATACTTAGAGTGTTCCTTTTGTCCATTTGAAATGTTGGGAAGTATGGTGTCCATTTGCAATAAAGGAAGTATAAACATTACATGACTCTTTACAGGAAGTGTGTAGGGAGGTGGGGCCAGGGCAGTATAAACAAAGTGATTAACTCCTAAATGGCAGAAAATTGAGCAGTGAGACTGCAGGGGCATGATCTATACACCAAACCTGCTTAATTAAACAAGTTGTTTTGGTGACTATAGTGTCTATTTAAAGTGAACCTGTTAAGAACAAAGGAACTTACTTTTAATCGCTCCACATATTTAATACATCACATATCACAAAGAAGCACAATGTATAGACATATACTCACTGCAACTCCTACCCGAGCTGCCATCTTTAAGGCTTCGTGGATTTACTCTTTGTATAACACACCTCCTGATACCGGAGAAACTGACGGAAGCAAAGCACAGAGGGATGGACACAGGTTTCTTCAGGAAGGAAGAGATTCTTTATTGGATCACCGATCGGGACTCAGAGGGACTAATGTCACCAAAAATACAGCAAGTTCTGAGCCCTGAACAATAGTGCAGGCTCCCTATATAGGCACATAACTCCTCCCATATTAAGCTCCACCCGCACATTCTCTTGACCAATCATTACAAATAAGAATTAACTTCCTGCTTGACCGCATGGCTTGTCCAGCACAATGGAGGAGGGGAATACTACATCCTGTATTCTTGCACATGCTCCGTACACTACTGATCGTATCTTGCCTCGTGCAACCAACTGATCGATACGTCAGCATATGCACGTACACATGCCACGTGGTAATCTCGGCCTACTAAATTTATTTTTACCGAGATTCCACCACATTCCCCCCTTTGATGCCTCTTGATATTTTACAATTACTTGAGGCATCACTTAACCTTGGTTTGCATACACCACAAGTTACCTTTGAACCAGACCAGACTTATCCTATGATGTGAATCTTCAACACTCGTCTTCCTGCATTGGTTCTCCCTGATCTAGAGCCTTATATTTATAAATTGCCATTATCTGTGCAGCAGCCTTCCTCTCTGCTATATTTTCTATCAGGCTTTGCACAGACCTAACTACTAAGGGTATAAGACACGGCAGGAGTAGACACAACATTAAAATCAGTAGGACTCCACCTACCACTGCCTTAAGCCCTCCAAACCACTCATACCAGCTACCAAACCAACTACTTGGATTGTACCCTTTCCATACCTGAGTAGGCACATGCGCTAGTTTAACCATATGGCTAGTAAGCTCAGCTATTGCTTGCCCTTCGTCATCTATTTGAAGACAGCAATTGCTCAGGTTAAACTTCCCACATACACCTCCCTCTACTGCCAAAAGATAATCCAAGGCTAATCTATTTTGGTAAACTGCTGTCCTCATCCTGGTATTATGCTTCGCTAGAAGATTGAGCGCTTGTGATGTCTCGTTAGTAATGATCTCAACCACCGCCTGTAACCTTATAATGCGGTTGAGCATATAAATAGGGGTTCTATAACCAAAGGTACCATCCTCTGCCCACGTGGCTGGCCCATAATAATCTATAATACGCTGGGGAGGCCATTCATTATCTTCCCAGGCACCTATCTCTATGGGTCCCCTTTTCTTCCTATGATTCACATCATACACTTTAACACCTAAAGTCTCACCTGTTTCAATAGGCAACAAGAAGAAGGATGGTTTCAACATACCCAACACACATGCCCCTTCCCAGTCCTGTGGTAACTCCGAATAGGCCTTCTTACCACAGATCCAGTACAAATTCGCTGGGGCTCTCCAGTTAGATGTGATGGATAGATCAAACCATACGTCCTTTAAATTGGCATATCTTGCAAACGGGTTAGATGGTTCTGAGACATTTGAAGCCGACCACCAAGTTGTATTCTTTGTATCATCATCATAAGCTTTTTGCCCTAGACAAGTTAATTCTCCTACAGAAGTATTATACATCATTCCTTTCCTCGCTATGCAAACATAACCTATGATGGAGGTCTTCAATCTCCACTCAGATTTACCTCTAACACTCATATGATAGTCGGCTTGTGTAGATATTAATTGGTCAACTGCCTCAGAACCGGACATTACCTCCTTTGCTTCCCAAGGCCATTGGTCTCCCATGTTAGTACCTCCACACACATAGCAGTTGGTAACATTAAGACTACCGGCAATACTCTCGGCTAAATCAATGAACAAGTTTTTAGCATTATGGGGGATCTTATTATCTATGCTCATCTCTTCATAAAAGGAATGGTATACTTGATGAGTTTGGGAGGTTACCGTATCAGTCTCTATCCCTATAAACAATATTGTCCCAGGGTCTAAACCCGTCCCATATATTTGAAACCCAAATAAATTACCATATTTATCTAAGAACTTGTCAGGGTTATTTATAAGTATATGGATTGGATTGCATTCCATAGACTTACAATATGGATCAGTAGGCAACTTAGTCACAATCATGTCCTTGTCTGCTGTCTGTCCCCAAGTCGCCCACCCCACACAAGACCAATATGGGCAGAAGTTATAATCTCTATTTGGGCATCTTGGACTTACATATTTATTTTTACTACTGGGACAAATATATTTATCGTTAGACCCATACGTCCTCTCCCATCTAAGATCCCCACATACATTCCACGGCTTTCTACCACTTGATATTGCTTTACACGCATCAAATAGCAGAGCACCTGAAGAATATACGGATTTTAATACCGTCTTATTAATTAGGGTCCCCTGAGGATCTCCATTTCTGAGAGTCAACCAAATTGTACGGGGTTGATACTCAGGACTGAAGCACTTAGGTTCTCCTACTCCTAAATGACACACACTATATTCTATATTTAAGTATCTACATCTTGATACATCTCCTTTACACTCATATTGCGAATGCCAAATTAGGGTCTGGGATATATGGTTACCTGTTCTTGTAGTCTTAATGCATACCTCACAGCTAGGAGTGTCGGTACCTCTACCTTCCTGAATATAAAAATACACATAAATAAACATTATTAAAAATACATCTTTCGTCGTCATCCTCAGTCTTCGTCCGTGCGAAGGCACCTCAGCTTCCAGGATGTAAGGGCTGCAGGGAATGGAGTTCTGCTCGTCTTCACAGGGGTCCCTTCAAGACTTTCCCTGACTTATACACTCGTTGGTGAGTGGACAGGCTTTATTATGGCCTTCTCACTCACTTACCAAGTCTCTGAAACAATAAAATTTGTAATCTACAAGGTTCCTCGTCACTCCGACTGAGTCGTGCGTTTTAACCGGATCTTGCAGGGATTCTCTGGATTTGCTGTAACTTGCCAGGAATCGGCTGCTGCTGGTTTAACCCTGGAGTGATGTATCCACGGAGCCACTTCGGCTACTTTTATCGCTGTAGGGGTAGACAGAAGAACAACATAAGGACCTCTCCACTTGGGCCC